CAAAAAAAAGACAGTTGAACAAACCCGTCAAGCTACCAAACAAACAAAATACAAGAGGAAAAAAATCATGAATCAGTTCATATAAGTGATATGACCTAGACTAACTAGGACTAGGCTAGGACACTTAAGAGGACGAAGGACCAGGTTCTTTGCTGGAAGAGAGTTCTCCATGAATAAGCCCTAGAAGTTGTCAGAGCAAGCAACAACAACATCTTGCTCATTCTTCATCTCCTCGTGAGCTTCCTACTATCCTCTTTCATCTTGTTTTTTTTTCTCATTAGAAACACCTAATTCTTCTAAAAGGTTTGTAACCGTACTTTTTCTCTTTTTGCTCGGGGTCTAGCTATACAGTCACATTCATTCAAGGTCGTTTTGAGTATTTTAGTCCCGTTTCCCCTATTTAATGCTTTACATATGTGTGTTTGTGGGTATGTGACATGCCGGGATGGTTGGTTTGGTTTTGGAGAAGTTTTGAAATAAATTGGGATACTTAGTTCCAAAGTTGGATGCTTAAGTTATACGAGTTAACCGGAGTTTGACTTTTGTGTAGACGACCCCAGAATGGAGATTTTATAGTTCCAATAGCAATATATGGTGATTTTTGATTTAGGAGTATGTCCGAATTTGGATTTGGAGATTTCTAGGTTGTTTTGGCTTGAATTGGCGAAAGTTGGAAGGTTGAAGGTTTGGAAGGTTGATAGGTTTGGCTAGGAGTTGACTTTGTTGATATTGGGTCAGGATTTTGGTTTCGAGATTTGGTATAGGTCCATTATATCATTTGGAACTTGCATGCAAAATTTGAGGTCATTCCGAGTTGATTTGATATGGTTCGACACGAGTTTTAGAAGTTGCAAGTCCATTAGTTTACTTAGGCTTGAATTGAGGTGCAATTCGTAGTTTTGATATTGTGTTGGATGATTTGAGGCCTTAAGTAGGTTCTTATTATGTTTTGGGATGGGTTGATGTGATTGGATGGGTTCCCGAGGGCCTCGGGCATGTTTCATTTTAGATTCATATCGTTTTTGGACTTGAGTGCATTGTAGAAGATTTTAGACTTCTGGTATTATCGCATCTTCGGTGGTTTGACCGCAAATGCGGAGCTACAAATGCAGCCATTTGAGCATAGATGCGACGGATGAGGCTTGCAAAGGAAGTCCGCAGATGCGGACTATGGAGCGCAGGTGCGCAAGCACAGATGCACATGAGCTTCCACAGAAGCAGAGCCGCAGATGCAACTTTGTGTCCGCAGAAGCGGCTGGTCGGGAAGTAAGTGACTTCCGCATCTACGATGGATTTTCCGCAGATTATCGCAGGTGTGACTATGAGGACCGCAAATGTGTTTTTTCCGGACATAATACTTATATCGAGGGTTTGGTCATTTTTCTTCTTTCTTGGAGTTGTGGAGCTCGGTTAGAGGTAATCTTTGGAGGGCTTTTCATGTCAATTGAAGGGGTAAGTAATCCTTATTTGATTTTGGTGTTAGATATTGATTACCCATATATTATTATACATTATTTGCATGAATTTAAGGTGAGATTTGGTTGTTTTTAGAATGTTATTTTTGAGAGTAAGATTTGATGATTTGAGGGTCGATTTAAGGTTGGAATTGGATGAAACACATATATTTTGACACGTATCAGAATGGGTGTTCAAAATTTGTGAGTTTGGTCGGGTTTTGGGGTGCGAGTCCGGGGTTAACGTTTTGGGCTGACTATGCATAATGGATTCAAGATTAGCTTTATCATTTAGAATCGTTTCCTATGGTTTTTATTGATTATATGAAGTTATTTTGGCTAGATTCGAGCCGTCTGGAGGTTGATTCACATGGGAAGGGCTTCTTAGAGTACTAATTTGGTTTGCTTGAGTTAAGTATCTTACCTAAACTTGGTTAAGGCACTAGTTTCCTAAGTTATTTGTGATAGCTACGTGCTATGGGTGGCATACATGTGTGGGGTTGAGCCCATATGCGTGCACCGGGGTACTTATTCATGCCCTGAGTAGTGCTTAGGCTATGTAATACCTTGAGTTGATTGCTAAGCTTCATTCTGTGATGTTCCTACTATATGTATCCCTTTTTGTGAGCTATCTGTACCATATTTGAGGTTACATTAAGGTTATCTCCTGATTAAACCTGATAACTTCTACTTTCGTGATGTATTTGCCTGATTGAGCTGTGATAGCATACTTTGCACATGCATACACCTTAGAATGACATTTATACCAGGTCAGGAGTATCAAATTTGATGTTCATTGATAATGTACATATATTCTTGTATATCTGCTCTCTGTGTGATATGGATTTGAACTGGTAGCATGTGACCATGCGGGGCAGATGTTACACCCCATTTTAATAGCGGGTCAAATTAGAGTATAACCTATTGGAAATCCGAAGTAAATTAATTTTAAGAGAAGCGCCACCCAATTATATTTAACGGTGAATTAAGACACCAATTTTAGTTAAGTAATGATTAAAGTCAACTCTGTTTTGTGATCTGGTTAACCTTAAAAATTCTAAGTAAGGGTTCTTACTAACCAAACTTAGGTTAATTAATTAAAAGGCTTTGTTGCAATAAATCTGACTTGTGACTAAATATTAAAATTGACTTTAGCTATTTAAGTATTTAAATAGGATAATAAATCACCTAAGTAATTCTAACTATTAATAAGGGAGAATAAGCACACAAGAGGTCAACATGCCTGCTTGACATGGCTGAGAGTATTTCAGTAATTTCACGAAAATTAAGCAACATGATTGGCCAAAAAGCAATTTTACTATAGCTATAACATGAATTTCTCAGTGCCTTGACGAAACTATCCTCTGCTTATCTCATCAACAATCAGCACTCACTTTTTTATGTTTTGTTTTTGCCCTTGTTTTCATCATTTATTGCGTAGTTGCCTGCATGTATGTTTGATAAATTTGGCAAAGTTTGAGCACATCTTATATAGTGAAAAGCAGCAGATGGTGGTGTCAGAACTTTTAAAGTTTTTTTGTCCCTGTTTTCATCTTTTATTGCATAGTTGTCTGTAGGTGTTTTGGTAAATTTGGCAAAGTTTGAGCATACTTTTATATCCAGAAAAGCAACAGGTGTGGTATCGGAGAAATACCTAGCAATTGTTTGTGAAATCTTCTATGCACATATTTTCTCTTTTTTCCAATCTCTTTTTCCCGGACCAATGTATTCTTAGTTTTTAACTTTTTAAAATTGCAGGAACACTCAAGCTTTTATTTTATTTTTTTATTGGACATACAATCTCTTTATTTATACCTCTACTTTAAATAAATAGAGTAACAACAAATTTAGTGTAATCCCACATGTGGGTTCTGGGGAGGGTAGTGTGTACGCAAACCTTACCCCTACCTTGTGGAGGTAGAGATATTGTTTCCGATAGACCTTTCGCTCAAGAAATAGTTCAAATTAGGTGACAAACAGTACCCACAATAATATAATAGGAACAAATGGCACAACATAATAAAGAACCCAAAAAAAATAAAAATTATAACAAATTATATATGTTTAATACACAGTTGAACCATAGTGAAAGACTTTATCTATCTACACAAAAAATAAAGACTAAATCTATTTGTGAGTATTAAAATGGAAAATACTCAATGTTTTAAAGGAGTTTAGAGTAGCAAGTCGATTTTCATTGCTTAAAATGATAATTTATTTTTAAAAACATAACTTTAACAATGCAATGTAAAGTTACGATAAGCCGTAATAGTTTAAAGACGAATTTTTAATTTTAATTTTAAATTAACATAGTTTATTTCATGATACAATAATAATTGTTGCATATAATATTTATTCTTGCACGCCAAATCTATGTTGTTACAAATAGTGGGTTATCTAATATTTGATCTTCAGTTAAAAAGAAAATTTTCATGCTTATGCTAGAGGTTACATTAGACTTCAAGAAAATTACCAGAAATTACTTTCTAAATACTACATTAAAAGAAAGAAATTTTTATTGTGCATTTGCAACTAAAATAAAAGAAAAATATATTCTACAACTTTGAGGTAGCTATTTGGTTCTCTAATTACCAAAAGTACTACAACCGTGCATTGCCTCTAGTAAATATGCTTAAGAAGAAAAAATATAAAATTATAACAAAAAGAAACAAATTAAACTGAAACTCCAATAAACTGAAAGTTCAGAATATCATAAAATGAAATGATAAGTAAGAATGAGCCTGGCATCTTTTCGGCTATTGAATATTTTTAATATTATTTTGTGTAATATTAAAATTTTTAATACTTGATGATTACTCTCTAATGGCACCCAACGATATATACACATGTGTGTTAACATGTATAATTTATTTATACGGGCTCGAAAAAGTAAATTGCGAATCTAATTATCTTTTTATGTAAGGATTTAGAAAGAACCTCGACACGTAATATAGTACTTGGGCATGGGCCATCTTTTACTAGTCAATACCTATTTGCTGAAAATGGCGTTAATATTCTTCTTACGCGGAAAGTGAGTTTAGATTAGGCAAAACAATTTTAAATACTATAAAAATAGGATCCGATCAGTTTCTTAGGTTTTTTAAGGACAAGCTTTCGTGTTCGTAAAAATCAACCTAGTTATATTAGAGGTGGATTTGACTTTAAATTTTTAAAAGCAGAATTTTTAATGAAAAAGGACTATGAAAATTCCTAGATTAGCTACCAAATTCTTTCATGGATGTTATATTCTTAACTGGAGAGTGAATCCTAAATAATTAAATGTTCGGGTATGGAGAGTCTCGAGTGAGACTCCATTTTTGCTCCAAGTGCATATGCAAAAGGAAAGAAGAAAAAGATTAGAGAGGAGAAAAAATCCTAAACAAGTATGAAAACGAAGGAGAAAAACAGTGGCATCAATCAAGTTATTAACTTGCACTAAATCACAAGCTCACAAAGGGATAAGGAATTTATTACTTCCAGCAACATTATACCAACAAATTTGGAGAATTTCTTATTACTAACATATCTCCTACATACACCATCAAATGAACTTTCTATGTTTATTGAAATCTTAAAGGTTGAATAGATTAAGTTGTCCTACAATTATTCCTTCTTGATCAGTGAATTATGGAACCTTATTAACTCCTTTAAAGTGAATTAAATACATGCTATCTAATCCTTCGACACTAGTGTTTGCAATAAATTTTCAAGATATGAAAAATAAATTACAATCACAAAATAGGAGAAAAATATTTTTACTAATCAATTGTGAGTACAATTATGATTCTTCTCTCCTGATTATCTCCGTGATTCGAGGGCTGAAGCAGCATATTTCTCGAATGTAGGATGATGCAGACCTCCTGGGGATGTATTTGATCTCCAGCTTCTTGAACTATTTGATAGTCGAGAAGTATCCGGTCATATTTTGATCTCTTTGTGCATATCTCGAGAGTTTATGGGATTTTTGAGACCCCTAATAGACTCCTGGGATTTCAAGAGTCTTGTAGTATCTTAAAATTAGGATTTAGCTTGATCCGTTAAAATTTAGATGTGTACAAATTCCCCATACTTCAAGGTTTGTCGGGATGTAGGCTTGCCGAAACTTGAAGACGAAACTTGAAGTACTCGACCATCGCAACAAATGATTTTGAAACTTGGAGTTTTCAATTTACAGGAGGAAGAGATGAAGGGCAGAACTGGTCTCACTAGGCATGCCAATTTGTTTGCAATAAATTTTCAAGATATGAAAAATAAACTACAATCACAAAATAGGAGAAAAATACAATTCTGTTTCTCCCTTGATTCTTCTCTCCTGATTATCTCCGTGATTCCAGGGCTGAAGCAGCGTATTTCTCGAATGTAGGATGATGTAGACCTCCTGGGGATGTATTTGATCTCCAGCTTCTTGAACTATTTGATTGTCAAGAAGTATCCGGTCATATTTTGATCTCTTTGTGAATATCCCAAGAGTTTATGGGATTTTTGAAACCCCTCTTCAAGGGAATATGTATCCCTTAATATAGGTATGCGTTAGGGTTTAGGATAGAGTAATCTCCAAGAAACCCTAATAGACTCCTAGACAGAACATATATTTCATGAAGAGAATTCTGGAATTGAACCTATAAGCATAATCTCTAGGCGATGGAAGGTCTCATACAAGGTAACTTCAATTCTATAGACCTGATCTCCACACTTTTGGCTATATTTAAAAGATTTTGATTGATAAGAATGTTAACAGCATGTTTCTTCCATTTGATGCATCAAAATTAAAGCGAGTGAACATTGATAAGTTCTAACATACTTCAATGATCAGTGAATCATATTTTATTACATAGTTCACAGAATCAGATCCTTAACATGGAACCTCTTACTCCTAATTAGTTTTTAAAAATAATAGCATTTTATGAATGTGCTTCCTAGAGTGGAGAATAGCGGGAAGCAGACACTAGACACACCGGGAGAAAGGTCTTGTTACATGGTTTGATAACAATTTTTCTTCTTCTGTGAATAGGAAATTCTTAACCGTACACTCTAATCAATCAAATTTCTTTTATTTTATTAGAGTCCTGATGTACAGATTTTACTATTCCTAAAGTCTTGACAGAGGATTACATGCACTCAATAGAGAGAGTTCTAAGAAATCACAGCAGTTTCCAAGTTGTTCTATTGCTTAGAAGCATGAATTCTCAGAGGTGAAACAAGATATCACATTTGACATGGTGAATTCCTATAGTCATCGTAACCAAGTATTGAAAGGATGTCTCTTTAATAAATAACATGATCATTTAATCTAGACATATAGTAGCTAATTACTCTTCCAGTCATCATGCTTTCTACGACATTCGAACTAGGAAACAGTAACTTACAGTCATATTTTAAACAAGAAAAGAATACATGAACAATGGTATTCAAAGCAAAGACCTAACATCAGTAAACTAATTTATTCACATAGGCAAGCAATTGACTTCTTATTTTCTTCAAGCTTTATGCAAACATACCACATAACTTCACAACTTTTACGCATACAAAATTTCTTAATCATGATTTTTATGGAAATAAACTATGACTCGCGTTTTCGAACAAATAGACGAACACTTCAGATCTTCAAAGAAAAACGAGAATAAAGATTTCAGAGTTACTGACCTTTTGTGGTGCAGGAACTGGGGTCGCGTCAAGGTCTGCTATCTCCGGCCTCTACTCCGCAACCTCGAATGACTGTCAAACTCCAAGACGAGCACAACGATGCCTCTGTTATGGTTAAAACCAATAGAGGCTGAACGAAAACGAACTCTTAGAGTGCGGTTCTAATGAATAAAAATAAGAGAAGAATGGCGAGGAAAAGAGTATAAAAGCAGCGGGTCCAAAGGTGCTGAAAATAGCCACAAGGTCTGGTATTTATAGGTGTAAAATTAGGGTTCTGGGTTCCTTTGAGAGGGAATTTGAAATTCAGATTTCGAAAGAAGTCAAATGGATCCGTTTAAATTTTAACGGAGAAGCTTTTTGGATGGATTCGATCTTCACGTGATTCTTCAGTGATATGCTACAGGTTACACCCGAAATGGTGAGATATGCTCTGTCACGTAGGGATTTGAAGGTCAAAGCTTGGCTAAAAATGGAGGAAAGTGCCAAGAGAAAGTTCTGCCATGGCAGAGAGGGAATTAGGGTTAGAAAATAAAGGATGTGGACTGTTGGATAAAAAACGATGGATGGCTGAGATTAGGTTTAGGATAAAATAAAATAATAAAAATAAAGAAAATACATGGAATTCTCTAGAACATTAATCTTGGCCATTCAAAAGAACGGATCAGATTGAGCCATGTGACGGATGTGAGGTCAGAGTGTGAAGGGGATTAGCAAGGCATGTGCTGGGCGTGTGTTGGTCATGGGTTTTGGGCCGTTGGCGCCTATGTGGCGATGACATGGGGGCTTATGTGGAGATGACATGGCAAAAAGAGTGGAGTTTGTGGCTGGCTGGTGTGGGCCTCCGATTTGGTCTATTTTGGTGGGCCTGTGTGGGTTTAAGGAAAATTGGGGGCTAGGAATTGCATTGAGTTTTAGGTGACTCGTTATTGGACAAACCCACTTCTTTCTTCAAATTTTCTTTGGGCTTCTAATTCTTATTACATTTCTTAATTAATCACATTAGCATAAATTAATATTAAATAATTTATTTATTTATTCGATGCGTCTTATCAAAACATAAGATTTGCTATCATTTACTTTTGTAACATAACTATTACATTAATTATGAAATAAAGAGTAAATATTATAAAGTATTAAAATAAATACTACTATTTGATTAAATAGAGGAAAGTGTATACTTTCACAAAAGACGATAAGAATGTATTATAATAATAATAATAATATTTAATGCTAATAATAACAATAATACTAATAATGATACTAATTAGGTCTATTTTGGGATTCAACTGTAAAATAATTATTCTTAAATTATTAGTAATATTAGAAGCTTAAAGAAATAATTTGGAAGAAAGGGGGGGACAAAATTGGATGTCAACAGTAGATTGTGATATTGAGATTGCGACCATGCTGGGCGGATTGCAGTATTGAACATATGACCATGCCGGGCAAATTCTGATATTGAGTATGTGATCATGCCGGGCTAATTGATATATAGGCGCGCGAGCTGCCCGTGCGATTGATATTATTAGCATGTGAGTTGTCCTTACAGCATGTGAGTTGTTCATGCAATACATGAGTAGTCTGTGCGGTTGATATTATTAGTATGTGAATTGTCTGTGCAACACGTGAGTTGTCCGTGCAACGTGCGGATATGGATCCATCCCCCTAGGGTCACCCTCTCATGTTTCTTCTTGATGGAGTATACACGGATTTAGTTATTGTATTTCATCTTTACTTGCAGTTTTCTTGGTCGTTTACCTAATTTAATTGTATATCTTCTTTATATACTAGATTGTTGACTGAGCAGAGTACGTTAGGTGATTGTTTGCACAAACGTGCTTCTTTATGTAATTTATAACTTGAAAATACTATTGTTCGTTATTTGTTGAATTTATGAATTGTACATGTTATAACGAGTATTATTTATAATTCTTGCTTCTATTTACTCTCCGAGGTTAGTTATGATACTTGCTGAGTACATGGGGTCGGTTGTACTCATACTACACTCCGCACTTAATTGTGCAGATCAAGGTGTTGGACCATGCTATCAGTAGCTCAGGTTTGCTTGCTGAGTTGGTCACCCGAGAGACGAGGTAGAGCTGCATCTCGACCGTAGTGTTGGCGTCTCTTTCCATTTTTTGTATTATTATCTTTATTTCGAACAATATTGTTATTTAGCTTTTCAGACTTGTATTTCTATTTTAGAGCTCACGAATCTGTATTTATCATTTAGGGGGGGGGGGGGGTTT